AAAAAAAAAAACAGGTAAAGATTAAATTAACACATTTTTTCCATATAAACAATTGCTGTAGTTCCCACAAGAAATTTAGGCAAGTGGGACCAAAAATCGCTGGTCAACATTATTATTAAAAAGGAGGGGAAGTGGTCCACAAGACAGTGGCAGTTATGTTAAAAACTTAGTACCTGTATACATGATTACAACTCAGGAATATAACAGAAGCATCTTTATTCAGTCCTTGTTGTTTTGTGAATACATGTAGTGTTAACTCTCAAGCACTTAGATCAGGGGTGCACAATTATTTCAGTTGGAGGGCTGCTTAATGAGTTTTGGTGAATTGTCGAGGGCCACAAGGGTAGCCCCGCCCCATGACAGGTGCCCTGCTCTCTGTTCACCATCTTGGGAATGGAAGTCCCACTGCTAACCTCTGACCTTTGCCACCAGAAGTCCCTTCCCTTGCACCCAGAAGGACTCATTCCTTTTGTGAAGGGGGTTTCCCATCTTGGAATGGGAAAAAACCAAATTCTAAACTAAAAAAAACCAAAACAAACATCTACAATAAAATATTTTCACTTTACTTCAAAAAATATTGTTGTCCTGATTTGTGTGCATGTGTGTTATATATATATAAAGGTGAATGCATAATATCTCAAAATGAAGTCTCTCTCTTGTATATAGTGTGAAGGCACGGAGTATGGAGAGGTGTGGACGGTATGGAGTTTGTGGGGTGTTGAGAGTGTATGTGGGGTGTTTGTGCATGTGTGTGGGATCTGGGGAAACTACACAAAACTACAAAGTCAAGGACTCAAAAGCTAAGAACTGTCAGAATTAAGGTTGCTGTCCAGACTTAATTTGGCCCTCATGCAAATGCATCATTATACAAATAGTAATTACATGATCATATACTACTTTTCCCTCGCGATTCCAACCTAATTTAGCACCCAGAATAAACTGTTAATTCTATCTGCAACAATTCAAAATTTCCTGCCACATGGTTTAAAATGTGGTCCCCTTAAGGTTTACTAACTGCATTTTATTCAAACCCTGCTCTAGTAACAACATTGTTATTTTCCCCCCAGTCTTTTCTACTGTGCTCATTACTACAGTAGCCGAGTACAGGTTTCCCTTGCTTCATGTGGGTTCTGTATATATGAATTCGCTCTTATACGATGACCTTTTTATACCAGAAATTTGTTATATGCGAGGTAAATTTACTCATATGCAGTTGGTGTAGTGGAAGCCTGCAGTCACCTGCTTTGCGTGGTGCACTGTGGGAGTGACATGCACCAAAATATAGTCTCCTGTGTGGATCTGTGCTCCTCTCTCATTGTCTGTGACATGTTTCTGTAGTTGCCATCCCTATTATGATACTGCCCTGTGCTTGTGGGTAATGTCTGCTGTTGGCGAGTACCAAAATGATCTTGTAAAAGTGGTTGAAATGGGTCTGGGGGTTAGAACAACTGAGGTCTTGGAATGTATGCACACCTATTTGTTACACTGTAAAGTAGGTTCCCTTTAGGCGAATTAGAGTTATGCACCGTTTTCCAGGAATGCATGTACACCATAAAGCGAGGGAAACCTGTATTTTATTTTCAGAACAGTCCTGTGAAGGGAATAGATAATAACATCTCCTTTTGATAGACAGGGAAATAATGAACAGCTTAAGCTCAAAAATTTTCCACTAATTTTAGGTACCCGTTTTGTAACAGCTCGGACTGCTTAATGTATGGCTCAGCACACCTGAACTTCAGTTTCAAATGTTGCTGACGGGCTAAGCCAGGAGTGAGCCTGCAGGCCACATAAGGAACTTTGGGCAGCTGTTACAGGCCAGCTCAGCATGCCCCTGCCCTGCACAACAGATCACCGAACCTCTGTGTATGCGATGGGGCCATGGGTGGCCAGGGAGCTTGTGTGGGTGTGGGGGGGCAGGCGGCAGCTTCAGCAGGGGCAGCTCAGCTGGGGCCCTCCACCACCACCAGCACTGCCTCCATGCCACCCTTCTACCTTGGGAGGGTCTGGAATTTTGAGTTTTTCTGTGCATAAATTTTGAGGTTTTAGCTGTGATTAATTGCAACTAATTAAGAATACATTTTTTAAATCATTTGACAGAAGTAATATTAATATCTTTGGATGCCATTTTCAATCTTAAATACCACAATTTTTCTGAATGCTCGTTCAATATAGTACAAATACATATACTGCTAACTTACACATATCCTACTAGATTTTAACTAATCACTTGACTATAGTAGACAGACTACTTTTGAACAAACTGAATTGGGTTATAAGTTACAAATTATAAAGAACAGGCATTACTGAGAGAATTTATCATTGGCAAAAACTCTTCTTTAGTAGACATTGCAAAGAATTAAAATAGTGGATTGAATTAACAAACCAAAATTTTTAAAAATGCCAAGGATTTCAATGAAATTTTTAGAGAATTAAATATTTTGATAAAATTATGCAAACTAAAAGTATATATTTTATGTGCATAGAGTTATTTTCATTAATATGAACAGAACATACCAGATAAAATAAGTAGTTCAATAATTTCTGCATCTCCCAGATAGGCAGCAGCATGTAAAGGGGTCCTTTTTTCATTATCCTGTGATAAGAGGGTGGAAAAAAAGGGTGTTTTATTTAAAATAAAATTATTCATTAACATTCTATATAAATTATGAAAATATTACAGCATGTAATTCCATCTTCCAAATTTTACATTTATATTTTAAGAAATAAAAAAATTAAAGCCAAAGAGATAATTGAGTTAATTACATTTACCTAGATGGGAAAAAGTGGGATCTTACTAAGTAGCCAGCTCAAACCAATAAAATTCATTCAGTACCAGTTTGAAGGGGTCAGGGAGGGTGAGGGAGAGAATTTATGACGAACTGAGGTTTTTCTGTATCAATACCCTGAGTAGCAACAAGTGCAATGTTTTCCCCAAAAATTTCAGATACCCTTTCAAAGCTACATATTATCCTAGCCACAAATTTAACAGAAAATGAAAAAGGAATATAACATAGAAAAATAAGATCAACAAAAACATGATATTAAAATAATTCATCCACTTTTGTTTACCGCACATGAGCAAAGAAAAGCCAGATATATGAACATGACTGATAAATTTATTTTGCCAACACAGCCAAAGCTTTCCAGGAATAGGAACGAGGACTGGGGGACATAGGCACGAAGTGCATGGTTGACAGCCCAGAGGTTGCAAGTTCAAGGACATAGCAGAAGCACTCACAACAAATCTACAAATTGTGCTAAATACCTTGTCACAAGGACATGAGAAGGAAGGAGCAGGAAGAACATAGATTCTTTTTGAATAACTCAGGTGGGGTTAGTAAAAGCCACAAATATTATTTTCATATGTGCATTCTAAAGACAACAGCTCAACTGAATGGATAAAGAAAACATTCACTTCCAGAAGGGAGACACAGAGGGTTTTCCAAATCTGGCAAATACTGGATTTTGTTTGTGTGCATCAATGTAAAAGGCAAGTGATGAAGGATCACTTTCACATTATGTTGAATGCTAAAAGACAAATGCATGAGCATAAAACCAGATAATTTGCTTCTATACAGCATACAGCAACGGAACTGCAAAGAAACTTGGTTTCACTAGAGAAAAAGGTTGATCACCTTGAAATGTGCTGGTTTTTAGAACACATTTTATACAAGTTACTCATGGATTGTTTAGATTTTTCAGTGAAGCCCCAAATACGCTTAAAAGAGCGAGTGTAAATTCTTTGGGGTTTTTCCCTTAAACATGTAACAAAACATTTCTAACAGATAAAGCATTGTTTGATTATAATGGTCAGTAAAATATGTTTAAATTTAAGTGACATCACATGAACAATTTATTGTACAAAAAAAAAAGTCCTACCCTTTTCCAGTGCAATAAAAGGTAAAAGTATAAGATTATTCCTGGATTCCAACTTAGCGAATACTGGCACACAAAACAGCATTTTCAATTGTGCTGTAGTTTTACAAAATTTTCTTGCAGTTGTTTTCAAAAAGCACATTACTTCTTTAGATGAAATGAATCCCAAAGTGATTTCAGTTACTCATCTCTGCCCAAATACTGTCTTTATTTTTAAAGTGGTCTAAAGAAATGGGTAATAAAAGGGAGGTCACACATTAGGGGCTACTACCAAAAGATAAAATTCAGCAACTGAAAATACTTAAGATTTGCTGAAGCTATTTAGCAGCATGTTAAATGCACTGTGTAAGATTATACTAAGAGTAGCAATGTTAGAATTATACAGCCAAGAAGATGCATCTTTAGCAAGGAAAAAGGCAGATTCAAGTTTCAAGAGAATTTACTGGGTAAGTATGGCATTTGCTATATATTTAAAAATTAGGTTTTCAACATTAACATTACCCCCCACCCCCAATGATTTCAAAACTGACTTGAGCAGATACTATAAGCCTGGCACTGATGTAAACCCCAAAATATATCTTTTTATGGGATTTCTTCAAACCCCATTTCCTAGAATCATTTTGTTAACAGACCTGGACAGAGGAGTTCACTTCAAATAGATTTTTTGTTTAAAAAAAATAAACTCAATTCTGTGCCCTGTGTGTAGGGCCCTACCAGATTCATGGTGGAAGTGGGCTGTGCTACAGCTCCTTTAATCTTGCAGGTTCCCCCATGTGTTGTGTCCCTTGCCACTGATTGGTGGAGGGCCCCCACGTGTGGTTTGCTCCTGATCGGCAGTGAAAACTACGGTTTTAAACTTGGCACTGTTTTTGTCTCCCTGCCGATCCGCAGTAAGCAGTGGGGCTGCCGGGGGCCCTCAGACAACCAACGGCAGAGAGACAAAAATGGCACCAAATTTAAAACTGTGGTTTTCACTTCCCTGCCGATCAGGAGCGACCTGCATGTGGGGCCCCTCCACCAATCAGCTGGAAGGGAGAAGGGGGTGGTGCACAGGGGAACCTGCAAGATTAAAGGAGCTACAGCACAGCCCACTGAATCCGGCAGGGCCCTAATTATGTGAATCCAAAATGTCTGTTGTGAAATCTCTCTGGGATCCAATATGGCAGGCTATTGAGGACCTCAGTGCTTTCAACATCCATCACTCCACGGTGGCACATTCCACCTAATGGATAATTCTGTTTCCAAGTCTGTAGCCAGCTATCTTACAGCTTCCAGCCTTACTGCAGCAGAACCGGGAACCTGGAAGCCCTGGCTCTAATGAGGCTTTTGATAAAGAGCTGAAACTCTTTGCCTGGAAGTCTTGAGTCAGGCTTCCAATTTCTGCAGCTATGGTAGCCCCACCATACTGACTGCTCAAGGCTGGGGACTCCAGGACTTCCAATCTTTTCTACCAGTTCAAGAGTCACTTCTTCCAGAAGAATCTGGAAGGCCTTGGGTTACTAGCTTAGCACAGACTGCATAGCAGTACTTCTCTGGAGCCACAATCCCTGGAAGCTATTGAATGATATTGATACTTTTCTCCATTTAACTGCTGCGCATAGGAAACAAGACTATTGAATTTCCTTTAGGGCCCAGAGAATGTTTCACTGGGAATTTTTAGTTCTTAATCAATTTTGAAACTTACACTTTTGGTCTGAATAGGACTGAAACAAATATTTCCAAAACTTATTGTGAACTGAAAATCCTGCATTTCATTCATCTTAAGTTATTACAAAAGAATTGCAGCTTCAGACTGGTTGGTGTGGGGGGCTTGAAAACATTGAATCTTAAAGGCTCTAACAAACAAATAAAACAACAGTAATAAGAAACCCAGAAGGAAAGTAAAGAGAACACTCAAATATTATGTTTTTAGGTCAAATTCATGATTTTCAAAGCCTCTCTCATGATTTTTTAATACTTGACAATAATGAGACTATGAAAGGACAGTGCATCCTATTTATTCTTCAAAGTAAAAGTTTTGTTACAACAAGTCTTTCAATGCTATTGTCAAACATCACTTAACCTGTATTTTCTGCTATCTGACTGGTTAATTAAGTATTGGAACACCTTATATTCCTGGCAAAAATTGGTTTAAAATATTTAACATTTGACTTAAAAGGTTTTTGCATCTCCTTATGAACTGCCGTGGCATTAATAGGCCCAGTTTCTGTCATAAGAAGTATATTCCTGAAAGTATTTGTGAACATTCCTTTTCTCTCTATTAATTTGACACTTCAGCCTTCCTCTTTTAGTATACTATTCTTACTCCAGATTGATAATTAGCTTATCTTTTTGGAAGCATCTTTTGCTGCCACACCACATAGTATCTTACAAAATTAAGATGATGATAAAGTGCTGAAAAATAGAACCAAGAGAAAACAGTAGCTTTTTATGCTCCATTTCTGTAATGCTTTGTTTCTATAAAGTGTAGAAACATGTAATATTATTAATCAGCTTACATTTCAACTAGTTTATTTATAATAATTCCTATGTTTACAATTTGCATAAAAATTAAACAATCAAGCTATTTTGAATTTTATAAGTCTGCTCCTGAAAAGGATGGCACTGTTTTAGTTACTTTCCAAGGCCTGATTCTTAATACTTTTTAACCAGTTACACATTTCAGTACTTTTCTCCCCTTGCAATTCCAAATCATAATACATGATCATCACAGCATATTACTACATATTCTGTTTTCCCAAACAACAAATTTATAAAAAAAATTATACAATATTCCTGACACATTACAGCCACTTATTTGCCAAGACAATGCTAGGAATTCTTTTATGACATCTGTCTTGTAAGGTAAAAAAAAATCTTTGTTTCTTGAACACATACTTTCACATACAGAATACTGGAAAAGCCTCCATATCAAAAGCCTAACTTTCAAACTGAGCTTCCAGGAGCTGCAGAGTTTAGGCATTCAGTTCTATGTTTGGATCAATGAGTAATTAAGTTATGCTCAAAAACCATAAATGATCACACCTGATAAACCACCTGACTAAAAATTGGCCTCACTACTATCACTAACTGGAATTAGAACAAGAGGACAAACATTTGGAATTTTACCCCAAATAGCTAATTTCAAGTTACCTCATGATAAGTGTCATTTGACTGCTACTACCCTTTGGCACCATTTTCTAAAGATGAAAACAACCTTTTTTAAATGAGTACATTCATAATCTTTGCTACTTTGCTAATGATTAATTATTCCTACTGCTGAATTTAAAGCTCTAAAAAAAATAACTAGTTTTAACTATTTCTCTCTAAATTCAGTCAGAATCTTTAAAACAGTAATTTCTCTACTTTCTATGTTAGGAAAAAAAATTAAAAGATCTACAAATTACCAAATACCTTAAGAGACTACAACTGTAATCCCTGGTAGTGCGAGCAACTCTGTTTAGATAGACGACATCCTGAAAAATCAGGGCTTGCTAGATCAGAGAAACCTATACTAACCCGTTTTGTATAATTATTTTATTTGTGATGAACACTTGATATTTAAATTGTATTCGTATATACTACTCATTTTAAACGGAGCTTAATTAAGCCCAGGGAAATTCTCAAATAACCCAAGTGCACAATTTTTGGAGCACTGTTATTATGTCACTAGGACACGAACTAACTTTCTAAACTGACAAGTAAAATTATAACTGAAACATGTAGCTAGATTAAGCA